ATACCACTAAAATACTCTTTCCATCTATTAACAATATCATGGTTCTCTGTCAATAAATTCCCTTGACATTCTTTACATGCTACAGCTTTCGGTCTGTATTCTTGTGTTACTTCTTTAAGCTCCTTATGAAATTTTCTGCTTTCATTTCTACGATGGTGTTCTACCATATTGTCGATCTTTCTTCCTAACGCTTCTATTTCTTCTTTCTACATATTCTGGTGGCCAATATCCGTTTTTCATTATAAAGATTTCTATTAGCTCTCGTATTTCATTGTAAACATTTCATTCTAGCTTGCTTCTTCTGTTTGACGACAAATCTACATTCATCATCATACCAATCTTCATTTCTTGATCTTCTTGTCTCTCCAACAGTTATATGTGCTGTTTTTAAAATGGCATTCTTTATGCAGTTCCATTCATCTTCAATATTAGGCCCTTTTTCTATCTTTTGTAATTCTAAGTTTAAATTACATTGATACTCCTGTACTGTACCCCTATCTTCTAATTTGTCTACATTCCATCTTTTAATTCTTTCCATTTTCCCTTTCATAACCATACATATTTTTTGCTTCATTCTAAACCCAACTAAATAATGGTCCGAGTCAGAATTTGCCCCTCGGAATGTGCACACATTTTCTACATCTGTCGCCCATCTCCTAGATACCAATATATGATCTATTTGATTAAAATTATTTGTTCCAGGAATTTTCCAAGTACCCTTATGAATATCTTTCCTTGGGAAGTATGTGCTCATGACCCTTAAATTATTTGCAGCTGCAAATTGTGCTACCCTTAGGCCATTATTATTAGTTTCTTCATGCAGACTATTCCTTCCAAATAGTTTGACATAGACTTCTTCTTTCCCAAACTTCGCATTATAATCACCAAGTACTATTATCATGTCATGTTTCGAAATTTTATCACATACAGACTGCAATTCATCATAAAAACCATCTACTGCCACCTCTTCTGTCCCATCCATTGGTGCATAGACATTAACAAGGGTTATATTAGGGAATTTCCCTTTTACTCTAAGTGTACATATTCTTTCACTTACTGGCGTAAAGGCCAGCACAGCCTTACGCATTTGTCTGGTAACAATAAATCCTACTCCACATTCTCCTTGTCTATCGTCTTTCCCAGAATAATATATGGAGAATTTTGCCTTATTAATTACTCCCTAATTTTTCCATCTAATTTCTTGTATAGCGACAATTTCCATTCTATATTTCATAATTTCATCAGCTATACCATTCATCGCTCCTACTTGTAACAGAGTGCGCACATTCCACGTTGCAATATTTAGTACCATATTTTTATCCTTGTTCCTTGCTAATGTTCGTCTTCGTGAGGACAGTCCGGCTTCATTCATCAAATTATTCTCAACTTTATTCTTTTTTATGATGCAAGGTTGTTAGCCTTGCAACCAACCCCCAACTTGGAGGACCAGGGTACCTGTCTTAGTCTGACCTCTCCCCCTCGACCAATCTGGCTAGGGAGGCCCTACCAGTAGCTATGCATAGCTCTTGGGGTCACTGAGGTACTCAAGCCCCACCACCACGACAAGGTGCAGGTACCATTAAGTGAGATCAACAACTGCTTAGACAGGCATTAATGATCACATCTCAAATACCAGATTCTAAATTCACATCCCTGGAACGCATGAAGTATGTGTGCCAGGGATGCAAAATCAACCTATGTTGTAAACCATTAACTCTGCTAACTTCAGCAAGAATCACAATAGAAAGTGAAGATTACCACCAGTAAGCCAAGGACTGTCACAGGGTGTAGGTATAGGTGAATTCACAGTGTCCTCAAGGATGTGCCAGCATGAATTGACAGGATAGCATTTTAATAAGAAACAACACTGCTTCTTCAGTAATGAGCTATGAAACTATTGGAGAATGGTGTGCTTGATTTCATTCCCTGACATTCACTTATATTACACAATTTATTGGTTACACTAATTGATGTGCATGCAATACACAATAACACTATGTGCAAAGTGGAATTGAGACTCTATTTCGTTGCTTTGCTTACATTAGTATCATCTGGCTCAACAATTTGTTTTCATATGGTTAGAAATTATTGTGGTTCTTTTTTTGTATCGTTTGATGATAATATTACAGCGGTTGCTCTGGCTGAAGGAATTTCACTGAGTTCACACTGATGTACTTGGCAAGGGGATTGAAAAGGAGTCTGAAAACGGATGAGTGATTTTGATTTAGTTGGTAAGATTAACGACCAGTTCCCACAAGACAAGAATTGAGACTCGATTCCTGAATTGTGAGTGGAGCCCAAGGAGAAGACTGATACCCGCTACCTTCCTTGGTACACACTCCTTGTGGTCTCACATATTCCATTTCTATTGGATGTCAGGATTTTGGCTATAATGCGGAGTCAGAAGAATTGATCCATCATGAGCACAATGTGAGATATATTAAATCACAACGGTTAAGATGGGCAGGACATGTGGTCAGAATGGGAGAGGACAGACTGCCACATTTGGTATTAAACCAGAAATAGTGGGGAACAAGACCTAAAGGAAGACCAAGGGGGAGGTGGATTGATGTGATAGAGGAAGATATGAGAAAGATGAAAGTGTGCAACTGGAAGAAGGTAGCTCAAGATAGGAAGAGATGGGGACATATTGTTCAGGATGCCAGAGCCCACCAAGGGCTG